CAATGCCTCAGGCCTCGTTTGCGCATTCAATGAGAGTACTCAAAAAGATCTGCTTGCAGGGCGTGGTTTTCTCCAAAGAAGTACGACCCTTCTTCTACACCAATTTCAAAGTCCATTAAAGACAGATTGTCTTTAGACGACCTGAGTCTGAGACTATAGGAATTTCCTTTACTTCAGTGGTGCCAATTTGGTCTTTGGACGTCTAGGGATTTTGGTCGTAATTTGCTTTTGGCACTTACAAACCCCACTGAAGAATCATGAACTGACATTGATGCAATTTAAAAGGTTGAAGGTTGAAGTGTCCCTGTCGAGACCCTTGCGAATGAAACACCCGTTGCCAACACATGCCACCTCCTGAAAGTACCTGCTGGAAGGGCTTTGTACCACCCAAACGCTCATGGGCCCTCATATGGAGGGGTCTCAATTCCCTAGGTTTTGAGGGACCAAGGGCTGTTTGGAGCGCTTGGGCAGGTCATTACTCTTCCGCATGTCTTTTGCTGCAGATGTGTTCGACTCTTTAGAGAACTCATCAGCCACACCCGTTGCTGACCAAGGCGCCTCCCCCCCGTGAACCGTGCTTCCTTCGCAATGGGACCACGAATGCGATTCGCGTGGCTCCAAGGCGCTCGTGAACTGCGAGAGCACAGTCCAGCAACAAGGCATCCTTGCCAAGTTCTCGTCGCAGCGGTTTGGGATGCGAATGGTCACACTCTCGACCTACGAGTAGAGAGATTGGATGGTCACACTATGCACTATGTCATAATCAAATACGCGTGACCGTGTGACCGGATTGAATCCCAGGTTCTTTTTTTAATGTGGAATCCGAAAGAAACACCCCTTCAAAAACACTTCCAGGCTGGACAAAGTGTCCAAACGTGTCACGTCTGACTGGCCAGGCTCCAGCAACCTCCACGTGATTCTACCGGTCTCGGCGTGACATCGCATCTACCTAGTAACAAGGGCATTACTACAAGTATAGCGTTCCGACGCTACGTTCCGGGGCTCCTGGCATCGCGTTCGAGTCCGGACGCGAACCTGGCCTATACCCAGACATGACGAGTCTGGGACTGCCAGTCAGGACTGCCGAGAGTTCCGGCCAGGGGTGGTTGAAGTCGGGGCGTCTGTTTGGGGCGGCAGTCCGTCCTGGCAATCCCAGGTTCCAGGTCGTGTGTGGGTATATATGGCTGGCACCTGTTTTTTCTTCCCCCCTTAACCAAAGATAACCAAAGTATGTTCAATCACCACGCCAAATGGGTGGAGTCCATTGTGGAGTCCTTCATGTTCCTCCGGTAGGGAACCAAAACGGCGAGGGGCCCGGACGTGCTTGGCATGTCCGGTCAGACCGGACGAACACAACCCGCAAAGGACCGGAGATGACCGGAGTGACACATACACCTGGTGTATCCTGGAGGTCGACTTGCGGTGGAATGGTTGACCCCCAAGTCGAGCAGATGGGCCCCAAAGTTTGGGAAAGGTCTTTGAAAGTGGCAGAGAGGAGTATTGAACACCATCGAAAAACATATCGATGGGTCCCACTGATGATCCTTGATGCCCAAGTAGGATCAAACCACTATCCCTGATGAGTCCAGTCATGACATTTTTTGCCCCTGATGGTAGTGGTGGATTATGACTACCGGGTGGAGTAAAATGAGTCATTGGAAGTTCTGGGATGGGAGTCAAGGCTCCAAGTGAGACGACGGATTGGTAGGTCAAGCCAATCGTCATGTTGGTAGAGCGGGCGATTTCCGTTGGCCAAGTATGGGCCTTGAGCACTTATATGCACATCCATGCACACCGTCCAACAGCCCTCAACAATAACGGATTTCCCGATCTGGTGCCGGTACCACCTGATCTGGTGGCTTGCATTGGATTGAGCTCTCTGGTGATGCTGAGCATGATCTGGTTATCGGTTACATATTCCACATGACATATCTATGCACCCTGGACAATCAGAGGTTAAGGCAAATGACTTGAACATGCCGTGTGTTCCAACAATGTTTCTCAACATGCCACCTGATCCCGACCTGGTCTAGTCGATGTATATAATCGGTTTGATACAGTGCCTTCCCACCTGCGCGACCCAACAAACTCGCGCTGTCCTCAGCTGGCCCCTGTGCCCAGCTTCCTGCACATCGGCCAAGAACCAACACGATGTCTACCGGAGTGGAAGGGCCCTCAGGGAGCGGACAAATCGTTTAGCAGTAACAGGTGCCTTACTACACGAACCTGTCTGGGAGTGGTCCATGACCATGACACGACCGCGCCACATCGGCAAACAAAAACACGACCAACATCGACCATGATGGGTGGTTCACCCACGAACAACCCAGGGGCAAGGGTTAGTGGTGAACAGCTCTTCGGACTCCGAAGGGAGTCGACTCCGTCGACTCCGCCAGGAAGGACCGAGTCGCGTCGCTCGACTGAGCTTCGCACCGTTCCAATGGCTTTTATACCACCCAGACATGACGAGTCTGGGACTGCCAGTCCGGACTGCCGATCAGTTGGGGTGGTTGAAGTCGGGGGTCTGTCTGGGGCAGTTCGTGGGATACATTGACCCCTTTCAAACGTCCCAACTGATCGGTCGGTTGTGTCTGGGTTACAATCTTAGACGGGCCTGTTTCTTCCACATCTTCCACGCCCAAAAACTCCGCATCCATTGGAACCACCCTCGCACTTCCAGCACCAGTACCAGCTCCAACTTGGCCTACGCAGCACTTCCAGCAGTTCCAGCACCCCACTTAGAAGAACCACCCTTGAACTCACTTCAAACTTGGCCTTGCGGTCCAGGAAGCTGGAGCAAAACAAACAAACAAACAAACAAGGGACCAGCACAAACCCCAGCCTTAAGCCTTTGAAGCCTTTGTCCTCACAGTCCATTCGCGGAAACTCGCCCAAGCTCGCCACACCTTGCTATGCACGTTCTTCCTGCCACCACTGCTGCGACCGCCACCCCGCGACGAAAAAACGCGAACGAACCGAGCTGCGATCGCCCAGCCGACCGGGGAATTGCCCGAAGTAGTCGCGGTAGGCGCCGTTGGCGCTGCTCGTGGCCAGGGCCTCGGAGGGAGCGCGTCTTGGTGGATCGAGGCCGGTTCGATGCGTGGAACAGGTTCATGTTGGAGTGAGTTTCAGTGAGGGAAAGAAAAGATGGATTTCCGAGATGTTGGTGTTTCCCCCCCACAAAAACCTGGGAAAAAACACATGGGAAACACACACACACAAAAATAACACGAGAAGATTTTGAAGGTTCTCCACTGAATCCTGGGTGAGGAGCATGTTGGAGCGGTGAAGTTCAACACGAATGACCGCCCCGGAACATGGAGGTGGCTGCCGTTGGGGCCATCTACTAGCGGCCGCCTAACCAACGGGCAAGAAGGTGTTCTTCGTCAATCTGTCACAGAAGCTTTACTTTACCCATGAGGCCAATGAACATGAATGGGCAAGTTCAAAACGAAACGAAACATCGTTCAAGTCTCAATACTCCTGGAACATTGCCGCCCAAACGATCTGCGTTGCCTTCCCGATGAGTTTGTTGCTCAATATGCCCCCAAAGCAGGCAGCCGCACGTTCCAAAAAGCGGAATTCCTTCAGCGGAGTTCCTCAGCGCCCGCACGTGGATCACCCAAAAGGTCTCCTCTTCCCGAAACGTCGCCTCCATTGCGAAGTGCATCGGCGGGAAGTTTCCCACGTGGAGCACACATGACGCATCGCGAAAAGAAAGGGTTTTTGGATGGACAAAGTGGTACGTGTCCCTCCTTCCTGGGAATCACTAAGAGTGAACATATTTCGGTGAGGTTTTACTGATGTGGCACAGCATGAAGAAGTGGATGGAAAACAGGAAGACGAAGGGCCAAGGAAGTTTCTTTCAAATAGACGCGTTTTTATATGCCTCCAAAGCCAAATGCACAGTCGACCTGAACGATTTGTGGGGCTTGAAGGCTTCCTTGCCCCCCTACTCTGTGCAGGTTTCCTTGCCCAGACTCCGTGCGTTGCCGCAAGACGGAGGCACATGATGTGCGTTCTTCTGCGGTGCCCGTGGGTTGTAACCTCCCAACGACCATGCGCGCTTCCACCACTGACGAACAAGAGACGTTTCTCCCAGAAATTCCTCCGCCTGAAACGTCGTTTCCCGACGTGGATCGCTCGTCGTTGCCTTTGCTTCGACTCCCTGAAAGCTCATTGGAGCAATTTCGTTGGCGATCCATTGGGGTACCAGGTTTTGAGCTTCATCCATGCTGTCCTCGGACGAATCCTCAGGGAGGATAGAACGGACAGTCAGTGCATGACAGGCAGTGCATGACTGACTCACCCGAGGCGAAGCGGCGCATTTGGTGTTTTTCCAGGCTAAGCGGTCCGTGCGGGAAGAAACATGCGGCGATTCGGTGCTTCTCAAATTCACAGGCGACCAGCTCAAATTTGCAACGAAGAACACTCCTCCTCCTATACTAGTAGCATTTTTGGAAAGGTGTTCAAGGCCTCTGTGGTCCACAAAAGAATGGTATACGAATGACGGTCCCATCTACCAAACACATTCACAAGTCTTCACGGCACATTTCTTCATTCTTGTTACTAGTAGCTACTTGCTCCTAGTAGTACGGCCAGGAGCCCCGATCGTAGCCTTCTTGCTCCGTTCGTGCGATGCCCTTTGCTCCTAGTAGCTTCCTTTATATACTAGTAGCTACTTGGTGTGGTGGTGGTTTCTTGGAGCTTTCTGAAAGCCCAACACGCGCCAAACCCGAATCCCGAAGCGTCTGGAAACCCGAATCCCGGCCTTGAGGTTTGAAACAATGAACACGTAAACATACGTAAACACAACCCATGTCTGACTTACAAAGATATTGACATATGACTTATTTATATGGCCATATAATGATATATAACTTGTATTTAAATAGGGAGACCTGGAACTAACGGGTATACCTGGTCTTTTTCCTTCTTTGAGGAGGTCCGTCGAACCGGGAGTTCTCCCTAATACACACCCATATGGATGATCGTCAAGCTCAATGCCGGAACGTGGCGCTTTTTTCCGCCGGAACCAGCGCGGGAGATGCCATCTCCGCGAGAAGCTGTGGCGCCACCCCTGCACAGCCCACGCGCTCCTGGAGCTGACGAAACGGACGATTCGGGCTTCACGGTGAGCGGTCTGCGATGAGCACGGAGCACGGTGAGCGAGGACTCTTCAACGTGGTGAAAACACATCTTCTTTGCAATCCACGAGTGTGGGCGATCGCCTCCAAAACGTGGCAAAACATGACAAAACCAAACAGACTTCAACCACTGATATAGATGGTTGGTCAGGACATTACAACTAGATTTGCTACAACCATCAACTACAGTTTCTGTAGTTACGTGACGTGCATGAATTACTATAGATTTACTCATGGTTGCGTCAGCTGACCAACCCACTTAGCTTTCATTGACCGGGTCCACAGGAAGGACATGCAGGGGTCACAAGCTTTTGCCTTGCTCTCTATGAAATTGTTGAGATCAGAACACGCACCAACCTATGCAACCTACGCCCTACACATCAAATATGATCAGCTGGTTCAATTGGATCTGTACGTTTGGGTTCCACCCTGCGGCCAATCAGTTTCTTTCATCATGGCCAATCAGTTTCATTGTCAGACACCTTTTGTGGGCCAACTTACACAACTTACACCATTGGCCACTCTTCGTTTCTGTCTGATGTGAGTGGCACCGCGTTCTCACAAGCGTAGCCACAGGGACATCATAGGACAACCACCATGGACCGTAGCACCTCGCTACGCACCAAAGCGTTTCCGCCTGGGATGCCCAGAAATTCCCTGGGATGCGCCCGAAGAGACCTGACTGGTCGGTCCAAGACTGGAACTTCCCCCTCCACACAAATGTGCTGATCATTGACATTCATCACATGTATAGTTGTATGAACTTAATTCTGAGAATGTTTTTCTTGGGGCATAGATAACTTATTATGCTAACTTGAACACCTGCCGTTTGGACACCGCTCCCTCCCACCTCCCTTCCCGTCCGTTTGGACACCTCGTCTCGCATCGCACTCGCTCCGCGTCCGTTTGGTTCCCCTGTCCAGTGCATCGATCACGGCTTGGAAGGAAGCCGTGGTTGGCCTGGCCAGGCCAACGCCGCTTGGCACGTTTTCGCCCCAATTCCTCGTGAAGACGTCGTGTGATCAAACCAAGCAGCCAGAAAGAAAAGGGAACCAGAGTTTCGTTCGGTCTATGTGTTCAGTATTTTTTCAACCATTGGTTATCCTATAGTCTATAGTGATAATTGTATTATTTGGAGAAGTCATGTGATCAAGGCAAATGCACTGGATTTCTCTATTGACAACATCTACAAGAAAACCTGAGTGCGTTTGCCACATCCACCTGGTCGCGGTTGTATTCGGAAACTGGACGGTTGTATTCGGAAACTCGGCGGTTGTATTTGGAAACTCCACGGTTGTATTCGGAAACTCGGCGGTTGTATTCGGAAACTGGAACGGTTGTATTCGGAAACTGGGATTCGGAAACTGCGCGGTTGTATTCGGAAACTGGTATTCGGAAACTGAAGCGGTTGTATTCGGAAACTGGAAGGGTGGTATTCGGAAACTGCACGGTTGTATTTGGAAACTAGTATTCGGAAACTACACGGTTGTATTCGGAAACTGGTATTCGGAAACTGAGACGGTTGTATTCGGAAACTCCACGGTTGTATTCGGAAACTGACCGCTTGGATTCGGAAACTCGACGGTTGTATTCGGAAACTCGTATTCGGAAACTCGACGGCTGTATTCGGAAACTGCGGGACCGGAATCTCTCTTCAGTGCGTGTATCTCTTTGGCAATGCCAGGAAAACTGCTCTGAACGGATTTTCTCACAAGCGCCCCAACACCCCCCAAACACCACCCGCCCTCCATGGTACGCAACTATCCACATAAGCTTAATGCCCCTGCCCCACCCCCACCCCCCTCCCCCCCAACCCACAGGAAAGCATTGGTCCGCACAACCATATACGAAACCTTACTGCCCCACCCCCCACCCCCCAACCCGCCCGCCCTCCATGGTACGCAACTATCCACATAAGCCTGCCCCACCCCC